TTACTCCAAATTAATACTTTGACTACTAAAAATCCCAAATTGATACATTTGTGACAAATTTACCCTCCGTTAGTTTCCGTTAAATTGAATTAATACCACAAAAAATCACAAATTGGTACACCTGTGACAAATAAATGGTAAAACATAAAACCAGTACATCAGTCAACTGTTGCGTGTCATTTAACAAAACAATTTGACAGTAAAATTTAACGGAAACAAACTGAGGATAAATTTGTCACAAGTGTACCAGTTTGGTGTTTTTGGTGGTCAAAAAATTCGTTTGGAGTAAAATTATCATAGGTATACCAGTTTAGGGTTTTTCGTGGTATTAATCCTAAATTAAACAACTACACAAATATAAGTATCATAAATTGCAATTTTTAAATCTATTTCTTGCTGTATAATTCATTGTTGGACGTTATGGGATGTGATAAGTGTTTGTTTTTTATTTTTTTCATACTATTCACCAATAATTGCCCTCGTGAACGTCGACATCGTTGCGTAATAGCCCGCAGATTTCGAAAATGTTACAGATTAACCCCTACCTTCGCCCACTCAAAGAAACCTGGTTTGTGTTGCATCCACATAGTTTTTCAATTCTTCCCTAAAACCTTGCTGCATCAAAGCATTAAGACAGGAGGGTCTTCTCCAAAGATTGCTTAGCAAAAGCACAGCTTTGTTGTTAAAGCTCAACAGATCCTCCAACCCCATTCCTCCCTACCCTTCTCTGCGCCTTTGCCAGTACCTCCCACCTTCCCCGGTCTACTCCTAGTCCCATTTTAGAATTTTCCCCACAAAAAAAAAAATGTGATTTTTTTCGCTCGATTGCCCTGCAAACAGAGACTGGAGTTTTAAATATTGACATGGCTTAAGTTGGCAGTGCACGCTCTAATGTTTTAACAAGTACTTTTTTCCTAGCTCTCGACGGTAACTTTTCGTTTCCCACTTCAAGTTTAAAATACTCTCCCATACAATAAATTGCAAAAGAAAAATCTCATGTGCCGGATAGTGTATGAAATTTTACTTACCGTACCAACTTGATTGTTAACAGGATAAACAATGCAAGATACAAGTAATCTTAGGAGCGACAATTGTCTAGATGCGGAAAAAGCCTTATTTGAAGCACGTAGATGTGGCGGTTTATGCGGGCCAATAGGAATTAGTAAAGCTAAATGTTACCACTATACTATTCAAAAGGGGATTTTCTTTTTTCCTTTTTTTTAAATTCTATTGACCCCAATTTTTTGAGTATAAAGAAAATGTTCCAGAAGCAACCTAATCTGTTCTTGATTAGATGATTAGTGAGAAAAGATTAGCATCATCTTAATTGTGCAGTGCTTAAAACTTACGTGGAATTTCAACGTGGTCCAGATGCAGTGGGATGACAAAGGGAGAGGGCGGAGTCTAAGCAGAGGAAGTAGAGGGAGGAGATGGAGGAGTCTAAGCATAAATAGGAAGGAGTACACGTACCTGGAGAAGTGCAGTGGAGGTACAGGGCGGAGAGGGAGGAGTGAAATCAGAGGGAGGCTAACAATATTTAGGGAGGAGTGCAGGTACAATGAGGAGTACAGTGGAAGTACAGGGAGGAGTGGAAGCAGCAGCAGCAGTGTCACAGGGAGTAGCAGGGGAAGCAGCAGAAGGAGTAGCAGAGGAAGCAGGGAGAGGAAGTCCTCAGAATTTTCGTTTGCGGCATTACTGTACTCCTTTTGTACCTTGTGTTCTAACCGTTCTCCCGTGGCCCGATCTCTCGATAACAAAGAGGAAACAAGTCAATAAATAGAAGTAGATGGGTTATGGACGCAGTCTTCCTTCCCAGGCCACCGATATTGCAATTATTTTTTTGTTGTGAGTTTTCAATTCTGTGTTCCCTTTTAAATGTCTATTCATCTGTATGAGTGCTTACTGAGCATAAGTTCCTGATTTGTCTCTCATTTTGTTTTTTGGGTGCTACGTTTTCGAAATGTGATTCGATTGCGGTGATTTTGATCATTTGAAACGTCTAGGGTCAAGAAGAATGTACCGACGGTAGGCATGATATTCTCGAGAGGGAGTGAGATGCCTATTATTTTCGCAATAAATACAAGCTGAAGTAGGTAAGGTTGCGATGACATTTATTCGCATAGTGCTTGTCCTTTCACTAAGTTTTTTATGCAGAAAATGACTCTATGGTGTATTTATCTATTTGGTATTGATATTATCTAATACCAATTTTTTACCTATATATGCAAAACCTTGCATGTGAGCAGGATGAGATCTTGCCTGTATATGCAAGAACTTGCGCTTGAGCAGGTTTATATAGACTTCAAATATCTTATGCGTCTGGTTTGATCACGCGGTGACTCTAGACGGCGATGCAACTTTTCCCAGGCCAATGGTATTCCGAACCACTCGCGTGTAGTCGTCGCGTGATACGCTGGCTGAAGTATGAAGATACGACAGCAATAGCCCAAATGGGTATGTGGAGTCGAGTCCTAGATGGAGCGGGACAGATTCATGCGGTGGCGTATGAAGGAAAACGATGGACTCGTTTCATCGTATCAGCGTTTTCCGATAAATTATCCGAACAAGGACCATGCATAGTTTCTGCAGATAATTTAATCCAACTCTCGGTTGGCTTCCTCAGATGGCAGATTCGGCCTCCATCCTGAATGTACCATGCGAATTATTTTTACATTCTAGTCTTCTTATGCTTATAGAAAGTGGCCTGTGCAGAATCTAAAATGAAGATCACTGAACTCATGCAGCTCCAAGAACTGCGGACTGACGAACGGCGACTCATTTTAACCGATGACTTTATGAAGCGTGGCAAGAAAGAAGAGTGGAGTAAACCTGCCATTTGAAAAGAAGGGAATGCAGTAAAGAGAACAAAGATAATTGTCGCAATTTATACTCGGGGAGTCATCGGGTAAACAACCTAACAGAATGGAAACAAAACACTCGGGAGTCAGGAGAGAGTTACCCAAAATCTAGTTCTTAAATTAATGTTAATCAGCTTGTTAGGATGCACGTGTGAGTTGTGTTAGAGGAGTCTTGCATCGAAAAATTGGTGTGGTGATTAGCAGTTAATATATTATAATTGGCCCATAACTTATTGGTTTAAGATTTACTGGATATACTGACGGGCTCGGACTTGGGCTCCCTCTTGGCAATCTCTCTTGGTAAAGGTATCGGACTTCTGTGGAGTGCTCTCAACACAGCTTGTGTTAGACTTCTGCGGAGTGTTCCCAACACAGCTTGTGTTATCGACCTTGGTTTAGGCTGCAACTGTTTTGTTTCAAGTGGCATATGATTTTCGGGCCACAATCACAACCGATGTAATTTTTCAGGGCATAACCATAGCTGATATGGATTTCGAGCCTTGTCACCTCGCAAAGTGGGACCCTAGGGTTCTCAACATAGCAATTGAGTTTTTGTTTATACCGACTACTAGTCTACTATTGATTTAGGTTGGAATTTATATGGAAATTAATGTTGCACTTAGTTATTTGATTGCTTTTTTGTTGCGAGTGCATATCTTTCATGGATTTGCATTATTCGTAGCTTGATTCGATAGAGGCGGTATTAATCACTTGCTGATTCGTGAAATTGTTCACCCCTTTTTTAACCTTTTTAGATGCCGAGATGAGAGTATGTCGAAATTAGTTGCGAAGATAGATTTATTTTCGGTAATTTCGGGAACGATATTATAAACTTGGAAATAATTTTTGTTTGAGGATTTTGTCGTGGGCTTCAACACGCTCCTCTTTTTGTCTTCAAGCTAAAGCTCCCACAAAGTTTGGTCGCATCATGAAAAGTCGCAATAGCCCCCATCGACTCCCGGTACGAGGTTATACATATCACATCTTCGGTCTCCCGTACGCACGTGCACAACCTTAAAAAGATATAGAACAAACTAAATGATTTTCCAACATTTAAAAAAGAAAGGAAATTTGAGTGTCAAGTGAAAAATAGATTAATCAGTAATGTCGCGGTGATGACATGGTTTGTCACATTAGCATTTTTGTATGTATACGTGTGTGTTAGCACCAAAAATTGCCCAAATCATTGACCGTCGACTTGGACCGTTAAAGATCGAGCAAGACACAAATAAGGAAAATTTTGCTAAGTCCTTCTAGTCGAAAGCTACAGAAGATCGACAAAGGTGATAAGGAGTTGCTGACGTGTGATATAAAAGAAAATTGCTAACTGTCGAGTCACGGATGTTGGTAATTGAAATTTGGTTCAATCGACAAAAGAACCGAAGTTGAAGCGAAGATCGATGAATCAAGAGCGAGACTAGTGTTCAAGTCATGAAACGAACAGTTCCGGCTATTATCATAATTATCCGACACAAGCACGATCACCAGTTCATGGATGTGAATCTCGAAAGCCACTAATGACAATGGCTAAGAAGCATGTGATGTTATATTCATATGAAGAGGAGTTGCAAGCTGCAGAAGATATTTGTCAACATGGGGCAAGTGACGAGGCCAGGATCATCGAATAATGGGTCTTTTCGTAGCCCTTTATAAATACCCAGTTGCTGAATTCTAGAGACATAGGATGTTATTTGCTTTCTTTGTAATTATCGTTAACTTTCGCTAGTACCTATAATTATTAGGATTATAATTCGAGTAAAGGATCGCCAATCAAGCAATGACCATCATTGCTCGATTATATCTTCATGTATTTTTACACTCCGGTATCCTTTTATATGATTGATCTTGATTGCCTCCAATTTTAGTATCTTTAAATATTTTTGTCAATCTGCGTTTCGCAGTTTAAAAATTAACAAATGACCATTCACATCTTTTGTTGATTTTCGTACCAATCCACATTTTGAAAAAGTGCTTTGTGGACACTTTTTGATGAAACTTTATGTATATACTACGGACCGATTAAATTAAAAAATAATAATTGTATATTAATTGAAAAAAGAAAAGAAAAGAAAAAGAAAGAAAAACAAGTTTCGAGCACACGATTGAATATTGTGTGAAAGGTAAGGATTATTGCTTCTTCCATCCAAACAACAAGACGACTGTCGGCCTCCTTAGTGTTTTTCGCGCCGACCTCACTCGCTCTGTCTCTTAACCTAACGTCTCTTGCTCTCGTCTTTACCCTCGCAACTCTGTCTATCTCTCTCTCTCTGTGTGGCTACCGGCATCGGAGCTGGGCTTCAACCCTACAGGTAACAGATGGATTAGTTCAGAGATGGGTGCTTGTTCTGAAAGACTCCTTTTTGAACTCTTTTTGCTTCTATACGATCTCCACCTGTTTGTTTTTGCTCTTAAACTGTATGCAATGGTCAGATATTTCATTATCTTCTGAGTCCTTGGCCGAAGCTTCTCACCTGTATATGTCTAGTATGCTTGAATTAATGCTGCCCAGTGGAAAAAAACCGATCCTTTATCAGAAAACCATAGGGTTTCTGTCACTTTGCTCTTGTGAGTGGGGACAAGTTTTAGTTTTTTTATCAGTAAATTGAAATTTTTGTTAGGAGTTGGGACAAATATTGGATTAACCTTAATGGGTTTTTTTTTTTTAATCACAGTTTTTATCTGTAGATGGCCGTAGAAATGGGGGCGCCGAGTGCTGCCGGAGATTGGTCGTCGGAGATGGAGGTCGATGCTTTCAGACGCCTCTTCCCTCTTCGCTACTACGAGAGGCATCTCTCCGAATCGATACGCCCCGATGCCAGACCCCTCAAAAGAGCCAGAGATACAATTGTGTCCCTCGGTCGGTTCTTCGTTTAGCTTTTTGTTTGTCTGGTGAATTGTTTTTTCCTCCTTCATCTTGCCCACAGAAGTTGTATTCCTTTTATATTTACTTAGCATTGTTATTGCAGAGGCTGTTGCATCCTCTGATGGGTCCGCACTGGCAAAGATTGGTTCCACTGTGAGTTTTTACCCCTTTTCAATCTCTTGTGTACATTTGCTGCATGCTGACGCACTCCTGCACTTCAGCACATTCAAAGTAGTTGCATATGTATTTACTTGTAGCTGAGGCAACATATAGGTTCTATCTTTTCCTTTTTCTTTGTTTCAATGTTTGACTTTTGCACGCGGTTGAATCGTTTAAGGTGGATCATTATTTTTGTGAAAATTATAAGGTTTGCTCTTTTGCGACTGCATTTAATTAAATCATATTTTCATCAGACAATGTTGGCTGCTATAAAAATGGAAGTCATGACTCCTTCTGTTGATTCGCCTGATGAAGGCAGTATAGGTAAGCAGCCATGTACCAGTTGCAGTTTTCTTTTTACTAGGGTTCCTTCTTCTTAAAGGTGCTATGCATGGATGCCGGCATGTGACTCTGTGTTATTTTCAGCGGTTGAGTTCCATATGCCCCCTATATGCTCTCCGGTCGTGAGGCCAGGTAGGCCTGCTGAGGTAGCACCGGTGATATCGAAGCAACTTTTTGACTCTTTAGTAAGGCATGTGAAATTGGTAAACTTCCGTTTTCTTTTTTTGCTTGCTTTGACTTCTTGAATCTTTTATTGTTCTCCTGTTGCTTCAACGGGTGATATGCTGTTAACGATACCTGGTTGTATGCCATATGTATATTTGCGGGCATCTTGCTAATGTATACGAAAAGCATAAAAATTCTAAACTGTATCCATCTTGTGCCAGTGACTATTTTGACTGAACTTTTTGCTTGTTTTCAGTATGGAATATTTAATTGGGTCTACTAAATAGATGTGTAAACATGTTACTCTTTGGTTGAAGCAAATTTTCAGGAAGTCACTTGATCATCTAGCAATAAGTCTGCACAGATTATGTGGAGTAGCACCAATCTTTGCCCCTGTAAAGTCTGCTGCTAACTCTCAAATAAACAGAGTGGGATAACTCTTAGAAAAGTTTAGGGAAAGCCACAGAAGTTAAGAGGATTTCTTATCACTTAGACTTGTATTCGGGATGGAGATTATGTGAAAAGTAAACTTGCTCTTGGTTACAGGAAAACATTGTTTCTCTTTGCTCTGGCTTTCCTAGCGTTCAAACTCAAATGCTAGACTTAAATCGGACCCTTTTTCAGTTGTTTCCTGAAGGGAAGCGGGAGGAAAGACCAACCACTTTTTCAGTGTAACCTACACTTACTTCGTGGAGATATTGGCTCTATACAGCTTCCATTAGTTGCAGACACCTTTCGAGTACACGTGGAAGGGTTCCTATAGGTTCTACCAAGTCCATATCCCCATATATTCTCTTTCGTTCAATTTGTGTCACAAAATAACCCATAGGTACAAAGGTCGTAGATTATCATCCAAGGATGCTGTTGGAGTTAATACTACATACTTTACTAAATTGGTCTTAAGGTTTCCCTCAAGTCCATGATTTGTGCTTTCTTGTCTTCCTTTGGTAAGGCCCTGGTCATTGTGTCATTTAATTCTCGGACTATTACATTGCAGTTTTATAAAACAATACGTGTTTTTTATGTTGCAGTACTTTCTTGGGTCATGTGCTGTTTAATATTCATCTTCTGGAATTAATAATCATTTGGTTGTTGCAGCTCTGGGATGATTGATCTGAAGGAGCTATCCCTGATCAAAGGAAAAGCAGCTTGGATGGCATACTTGGTAATACTTCATGCCCGATGTTGTGATGCGTAACTTAGGATAAATTGTATATAATGCAGGGTTTTCCCTTTAGCTGCATTTATCTTTGGACCTTGTGTGGCTGAGGGCAACTTTTTGCTGAGAGAGCTACTTCAATAAATATTATACATGTTGCCTCGGAAAGGTTTTGCTTAGGTTTATTTTTCATGTGTTGCAGGATATATATTGTCTTGATGCTGATGGTGCTCTTTTTGATGCTGCATTGCTTTCAGCGGTTGCTGCATTTACTCATTGTAAGATATTTCATCCTTCTATTTTAGAAGCTGACATTTTAAATTTAACTTGATTTTCAGCTTTCTTCTTCTTGCATAGCCTATTCTGCAACTTGGTTAATGACTTTTTTGAGTTGATATAAGGTGGATCTTTGTTATTTTATATCTTGTGATCATCCTCCAAATTGCAGTTGTCCTATGATAGTAAAAGATGCGTGACTTGCTTATGAATGTCAAATAGCTCTAGCTTGATATATTCTTAAGGTGATTTGCTTATGAATGGATTTTGGCTCAACCGACTCGCTTTCAAAGAGATACTTGGTATGAGTTGCAGAAAGAGAAAAGCAATATGAATGGCCTAAGGCAGGAAGAGTCGTAATTTTCCCACTTGCCTTTGCTAAAGTCTATGGTGATCAACAATTTTTCATTTGCGCTCTTAGGCTGATTTCAAATCTGACCAGGAATGCCATTGATTTTAAACATTTAATGGTTTCTCATTTTTCTGCTAATAAAGGAGAAGCCAGTTCAATAATCCTCTATTCTTCAACAAGATAGACATGAGCACCACTCTTATTCAAAAGGCTCATGCAATCTCTTAAGAAGTTAAAGGGCTTCATTGCAAATTCAAAAAGTTTTGTGATTCTATTGAACATCGTCCTAGATGTTTGGATTTCTAGTGCAATAATCTCAGGTTGAAACTTATGATTTAAGCAAGATCTAGCTACTAATCAATGATTTTTAATTTAATGAACATTCAAAGGGCTTTTTCTCTTTCTTTAGCTGATCTGGCATGCCTCGTTTATGCTCTCACTTTTGATATTCTTTGAGTGTGGTACCAAAGATTGCATCCTCATATCGATGCAACGTGTTTCGTTTTCCTCTATTCTTCTGTAGATTTCATGTCACTTCATCACTTGATAAATTGTGTTGTTTTGGACCTTGTAGTGCGTATCCCGGTGGTTTCTTTGAGTGATGAAGGAAGAATGGTGGTGGTCTCCAAGGAACTTGAGGGTGAAAAGTTGGATAAAGAACCTGTCGACAAAGAGAGGAGAAAACTCTCGTTGAAAAGCATTCCGTTTTCCCTGACATGCATTCTTCACAATAACTACATCTTGGCGGACCCTACTTTCGAAGAAGAGTCCATAATGGAAACGTTCATAACCGTGGTTTTGAATTCATCTGGTCAACTTGTCTCTCTCTATAAGCCAGGTGGACCGGTTCTTGCACATACATCAGCTATTCAGGTTATTTTTCTCCTTATTCCTCATTTTATTCATTTGTTCATTCATTGTTAGAAAATTGTACTTAGATACCCCGTTTCATGCGAGGGGACATCATCAAACAATTAATGGCTTTCATACTGATGAGTCGATTGCATTATTGCTCTAACTGTACTCCAGTCAGTTTAGTAATGCAGAAGACGGATCTTGAGTTCTTTAAAGTAACTCGTGGTTGGTTAGTGGACAAGCCCATTGTGGCACGTAGAACATTCAAAAACTTGTGGAAGTTGATAAGCTTCTTATACAAAAAATGGTTCGGAGGATAACAAGACAATCCACTCGCGATTGTTTTCAAGAGCTAATAGCCTGAAACATACGAAGCAATGTTGTGCACATTGGATAAGCAACTATTGTCTGCTTTATATACATGATTATACATATGTGATTATTTGCCAGGAATAATGGAGTATAGGATGTTGGCAGTTCCTTGGCCATCTGGTTGATCTTTCATCTTAATGTTTTCATTTCCTTGGTTTTTAAGATGAATCTATTTCTACACAGGGAAAAAAGGGAAAAACTATATATATATATATATATATATATATATATATATATATATATATATATATATATATATATATCGGATAGAGATTGTATAGTAGTTCAAATGGTAGCTTTAATGTAATGATGATGGGAAATGTTGCTGTGCTTGCAGGAATGCATTGCATTGACAAGGCAAAGAATGAAGGAACTTCAGGAGATTATAGATGAAGCCATCTCTAGCATGGAGATTGATTAGAATTTATATATGTGTTTGTGAGTTTGTTCTGATCGATTGCTGCTTCTAATGGCATTTAATCATTTTCTGTCTATTACTGGGGGTGTTAATTAAAATGCAGAGGGAAGTTCATGTGAAGCTTCTGTATTAACTAGGAAATGGAAACATCAAGGACATCGTGGTTCAGGTGTCTTCTCGAGCTATTAAGTTCCGGTTTGCTTGCGATCTGAATGTTCACAATGGGCCACAAAATAGCAGAAAGACAGCATGGGAGTTTTGAGAACTTGAACTGAGACCTGATGGAAACTGGTTAGAAACCCAGAGTTGAGAACTATAAAAGATTCATCCTTTGCATGCACGTGTTTCTCTATTTCGTCACTCGAAGCAACACGCTAATTGGGCTAAATTCTGTATAGCTATTAGGCTCCTGTTCGATTTGTGTATTGATGTCTTAAGTGATGAAAGTTCAGACCAAGAACAAAAAGGGCTAAGCGACGAAAGAATCAACTTTCACCAAGGCAGGCATTCCACTCGGTTATCGAGACTTTATCTCATCTTGATTTTTTGAGTATTTGCCAATTAGCTCTCAGCTTTTGTTTCGCCCAAGTCTCCTTGTTGCTCTGCTTATCGACATTGATCGACCAATGCGCAGTCTCCTTTCAGTAATTGGCTTGCTTTCTTAGTATGGAGGATCTTTAGAATGGTCTCGGTTTAGTCACTTAAGCAAGCATTTAGCATTCGGTGTAATTTCTTCTGTAAGCGGTCATCTATACTTTGGCATTGTTTGACTAGGAAATCTTCTATTTATTTTGAATCAAGCTTGCATATGCTTCTAGCATGCCGTGCCATTCATACGCATTTGAATAGTCACATACGACCTGCTTTATCACTAGGAATCGTCTAATATTTCACAAGATCAAAGTTTCAGAAGAACATAAAAAGAAAAGGCAAAGAAAACAAATCACAAGCCATGCACAGATATCGCACTCGTATCCAATATGCTTCATGCAGCTTCTAGCTAACAGCCATCTCTCTGTCCTCCTCTTCACTTCAACATAAAGTTGGATCATCCCCATGCCTTTGAATCCACAGATTCATACCCGAGCCTTCACTTCAAAACCAGATCATCCCCATGTCTTTGAATCCACAGATTCATACCCGAGCCTTCACTTCAAAGCCAGGACAACACATCAATGGTGCAGAACCTTTTGATTTGACTTTTCTTCTCTTCTCTTTTCCATATAACCTCTTACAATGTAGACGCATCCACAGCTTCTTTACCTACGTCACTGAAAGATCTTGAAAAGAGCTTCCCTTGCCCTAATCTAACATAAAACACTTCTGAAGAAAGAAACAGAGAGCCGGAAACTCGACTTATAGCCAGAATGTACATAAGAACTCTCTTAGCACGGTGAAAAGAACAGAAGACATAGAGAAACGAAGGATGCAAAGGTTGAGTGCCATCATGCTGCGTGCGTCCAAGCCAAGAACATCTCTGCATGGACCTGATCTTTCTCGTTCAAGATTTGAATTTGAACGCATTCATCATGGAGTACTTTAAAAAAATGGGCAGCCCGAGTCCAGATCGTGTTCAACATGGAGTGGTATCCATGCGGATGACTAGAGTGCGTGGGCAACGGTTCCGACTTTTCAAAATGACCCGTCCTAGCAATTGCTCCGGCCGAAGCGCCCATCGGTCTCTTCAATGCCTTCACCGTGCATGCAGCAATGCATATCTCGAGCTCGGCCTAGGGGTGATTCATTCATGAGCTGATCTTACAGTCATTTGGTTATTGATCTCGCTCGTGTGGCGATATCATGCAGACAAAGTTCATCTTCTCGTCCTCAGGAGGAGCTGAGGCTGAGACGTCAAAGATAACCGTCTCAGGTCAACGGGGGGTTTCACGGTCGGACACTAGGACATAACGGAATTCCAACGGCCCCTGGTAAGAAGGCGCCATTCTTAGACAAAACAAAAAACCAACAACTAATTTCCACAAAAGGACACCTAATTTTCAAAAACTGCCCCTTCCATTCTCTCTCTCTCTGAGCTAAAAGGAGTCTCCTTCAATTCAGCTGTGCAGATCTTCCCATGGGTTGTTTTGTAATTAGGTGATTATCAAGAACCAAAAGAACTTAGAATCCCCATGGGAGGCTGTGTATCAGCACCTGCAAAAAGAACAGGATCTTCCTCATCATCCAAGAGCAGCCGATCCGCGCCCCAATACGATGTGGACCCCTTCCGGAAATGCTTCGTCCTCCGCACCATCTCGATCCTCAAAAACCCCAGCAGAGACAACATTTACGACAGGTTCGAGTTCGGTAAGGAGCTGGGGAGGGGCGAGTTCGGGGTCACTTACAAATGCACCGAGATCAAGACGGGCGAGGCCTACGCGTGCAAGACGATATCGAAGAGCAAGCTGAGGACGGAGATTGACGTGGACGACGTGAGGAGGGAGGTGGAGATAATGAGGCACCTGCCGAGACACCCGAATATCGTGAGCTTGAAGGAGGCTTTTGAGGACAGAGATGCGGTATACATTGTGATGGAATTGTGCGAGGGTGGCGAGCTCTTTGATAGGATCGTGGCGCGCGGCCATTTCACTGAGCGCGACGCTGTCACAATTACCAGGACCATCTTGGAGATTGTCAGTGTATGCAAAACTTACTTTTTGGCAGAATCCAGGGTCTTCTTTTGAAAAAATATGGCAAGACCAGAAGATACTGTTATTCTGGTCTTCTAATGTGCTTGTTTGGTCAAGAGAGCAAAGGCAGATTATCTGCATCTCTTTCATACTAATGAGAACAAAAATATAACCTTCATCACGAGGACTCGTGTTATTTCAGGTATGCCATGATCATGGAGTGATTCATCGGGACCTTAAACCAGAAAATTTCTTGTTTGCCGATTCGAGCGAATCATCTCCTTTGAAAGCAATTGATTTCGGTCTCTCTACATTCTTCGTACCGGGTATCTCTTCTTCTTCCTTTTTTCTTTGTTTTTTTTGCTTCATAACAGCACTTCAATCGATTAGATTTCTGCACCTTAGGGATTGATTATAGATCTAAAACATTTTATATCTTGGTAGGTCAGCATTTTAGAGAAATAGTTGGAAGTCCATACTACATGGCTCCGGAGGTGCTAAGACGAGATTACGGGCCGGAAGTCGATGTGTGGAGCGCAGGGGTTATTCTTTACATTTTGCTTTGCGGGGTTCCTCCATTTTGGGCAGGCGTGTACTCTTTGCCAAATTGATTCATCAGTTTTCTCGGAATTTCATAAATTTGAACTCATGGGCTAATAGGCTCAGTAATATCATATATGACTGGCAGAAACTGAAGAAGGAATTGCACATGCCATTGTCCGGGGCGAAATAGATTTCGAACGAGATCCTTGGCCTAAGGTTTCCGAAGAAGCAAAGGATCTAGTGAAAAATATGCTTGAACCAAATCCTTATTCTCGTCTTACGATTGAAGAAGTCCTTGGTATGCATTGCCTTCTAATCTAAATGTCGTCAGCACATTGTTTCTCTTCCTAGTACTGACTTGACGAAAAATCAAATTATGAATCTGACCGTACAAGAAATTGAAGCAGGAAGATATGTGGACTATAATAAGTAACTAGTGTCAGTTCTAACAATTTGAATTTTTAAACAATACTGTGATTTTAACAGGTGAAAGGGGTAAGCACCAAATAATAAGGCAGCTAGACAGTTGATCTCGATTGAAATGTCATTCTTTATCTGTTCAGCTTGTTTCTGCTATATATGAAATAGATGCTCAGTGACAAAATTGGGTTGGTAAGGTCTCAAGGCTTAATTTGTTCCTATGAAATATTCCTAGTAAGCATGTAACATTTGCTTCTGTGAACTAAAACTAGGTTCATAGTCCCATTAAAGAAATGCATGAAATAGTTTTAAGGTTGTCAACTTATAATTGACTTGTGCAGAGCATAAGTGGATACAGAATGTCGACAAGGCTTCCAACATTTCACTAGGACAAAATGTCCGGACAAGGATAAAGCAATTCTCTTTGATGAATAAGTTCAAGAAGAAAGTTCTCAGAGTGAGACCATAAGCATTGCCTTGTCGGTTTTCTTTGCTGTTCTTAGTGCAAGATTAAACTCAAATCATGTTTGCTGCATTGTTAATGTAGGTAGTAGCAGACAATTTGCCTGATGAGCAAGTGGATGACATCAAACAGATGTTCCACGTGATGGACACCGATAAAAATGGAGATCTGACATTTGAAGAGTTGAAACATGGCCTGCACAAATATGGACAGCATGTTGCTGATCCTGATGTGCAGATGCTGATGGATGCAGTACGATTACTTACTCAACAACTTAGCACGTTTTGTTTTTGACGGTTTATGTTTCCTTCTTCCATGTCGATGCACTATATGCTGTGAAGTGCATGATTTTGCTTAAATTGCAAGTCATTCAGAAGATTAGAGACGGATTACAAAATATGGAACGATGTTTTTTATCGGTTAGTCAAAGATTTGATCATGAGGTTGTATAATCATTTCACATAATTGATAGAACTTCTTGCAAAAGCATGTGGGTTTCTGATAATTTGATGAGTCGCCCTTTCTTGTATTAACTTTCAATAATAGAACTCTGTTCTTATATGAGAACAGGCTGATGAAGACGGAAGCGGAACGCTGAACTGTCAGGAGTTTGTGACTATGTCAGTACACCTCAAGAGGATTGGCAGCGACGACCACCTTACTCGAGCTTTTGAATTCTTCGACAAGAATGGAAGCGGATATATTGAATTCAATGAGTTGAAAGAAGCTTTGATAGATGACCATCCTGGTCCGAACAACGAACAATTTATTGAAGACATCATTTTCGATGCTGATCTAGATAAGGTAATACAAAACCAGAACAACCGGCAATTTGGAATCTGTGTAATCTTGGTCATATACGAAATAGAGTCCTCATTCTGTGGCGGATATATTTCAGGACGGTCGAATCAGTTATGATGAATTCAAGGCCATGATGAAAACGGGCATGGACTGGAAAATGGCTTCCCGCCAGTACTCGAGAGCGATGCTGAACGCGCTTAGCCAGAAGATGTTCAAAGACAAACCTTCCCTCTAAGGTTAAAAGAAGTTCTTCCACCCATGGCTTCTCTATCTCATCCAGGTGAACTGAGAAGAAAGAAAATCGAAGTCTCATAAAAAGGGTGTTGAGAAGGTGGCATTATACAAGGAAGATCATTGCATTGGTTTGGTAATACAGGGACATATATGCTGTGAAAATTTTGAAGAAATGGGGGCTAAACAGCTAAACAGAGAAATTCTTACTGCTTGGCATTCAATCCTTTTTTTTCTTTTTACCTGATTAAAAGGAATATCAATTGAAGCTACTAACCAGAGTTGGCTTGCAATGCCTGTCTTAATCACATTGAGGAGTTTGGAACCTCAAATCACAGGAACCTGATAATCACCATGAGCAGATGCTACACTGAAAATATGGTTTTTTATTTTAAAAGCAGAACAATGTCATCGTAAAGTTACATTAACTCACTAATTTCACATCACAGTACACTAGATCTTTAGCTCATATCGAGTGACCTCGTCATAAGTTTGAATACATAACACGTGAGAAATTGTAAAACTCGGCCAAGTTCATAGAATTATTCAATTCATCTGTTGAGCCCCTCCACTGATTGGGTTAGATTATGTTGATTGATTTCATCTAGGGTGTCAATCTTACCGACCAAACAACCATTTGATTTACCCGTATAGACCAAGTTTTAAACTGTAACTTGAATATTGCAAATACACTGAGCAACTTAAGCTCATCGATCGATATTAGGGATCTATTGAAATTTATATAAAATACTCAATATAAGAAGCTCAGAAGAGACCCATCCAATCTTCAAGGCAGCTATTGCTGTTGTCCACAAACATGTCTACATGTTTCCATAAAATGTACGATACTTTTCAATGTAATGTATGCCTATGAACCAAATATGTTCTTGTCGATTGTGCATGCTCTATGAAAAGAGCAATTCTACATCGGAAAAATTCTCTGTTTGCAGCACATCATACACAAGTAGCATAATCCTTTCAGTTTTTCTAACAGTCTGAGTGAGAGCCCCTACGTTAGTCATGGCCACGGGCCGATTTCGGCCCGGAACGGGGCCCGGCCCGTTGACCAGGCCCGCGATTTGGAACCGGCCCGTGCCCTACGGGCCCGGTTAAAAAAAAAAAAAAAAGAAGCTGCAGATCTGGCGAGGGCTCGACCTCGCCGGCGTCGAGCGAGGCTCGACCTCGCCTGCAACTGGCGAGGCCGGCCTCGTCGACCTCGCCTGCCTCGCCAGTTGCCGGCGAGGTCGAGCCCTCGCCCGATCTGGCGAGGCCGGCCTCGCCCGAGCCCAAGCGAGGGCGGCCCTCGCCCGACGCCGGCGAACTCCGCCGGCCCCGGCTATGGCCAGCAGAGGAAGAAAAGAAAAAAAAAAGAAAAGGAAAAGAAAAAGAAAAAAAACAGAAAAGAAAAATTATGAACCGGCCCGGAACCGGTTCCGAACCTGAACCGGAACCGGAACCACAACCGGCCCGGAACCGTCCGGTTCATACTTGGCCACGAACCGGAACCGCCGGTTCCGAACCGTGGCCATGACTACCCTACGTATCCAACAGAACACGAACTCTGAAGTAATTCCTTTCAAGAAGGATCAGTGAGCTCCAATAGACAAAGTAATACATCCAAATAGAAGACAAACTGAGTACATTTGCCTCTTACTTCCAGCAGCAAATAGATAAAATATTAAATGATCGGTGACGGTCACTATTTCTTTTTCTTTGCCAAAGTAGTACGGTACCGATAATGAAACGCTACAGCCTATATACATGGACCGGCATTATAGGTCGCCACCATCAACACACACCAAGAGTACACGCAGGCCAAAAGCTGCTGCTGCTGCTTGAATCCCTCGGCACACTAAAGACAACAGTTGAGCCTCTCCTAATAATTGATTTGTCACTGGCAACTTGAACGATTCGAACCAAGAATCCCTTTATAGGACACCGCCGTGCGCTTGAACCGGTTGCTCGTTCATGAAGTCATGTTTCTGGATAAAACCATCTTCGTAAATTTTCCTGTCACTGCCCTCATCGCCGATGCTGGCACATCTGGCAAGTGGTTGCAGATTTAGTATTAGCATAAGTGCATTGATCGCAGGACCAGTGAGACGCGTCATCAGTTCGACTGGAACCAGCACGAGTGCTGGTAGTTCCCTTTCCCCTTCCACCACCTCTACTTGCCTTGCTGCTCCCACCATTCTTAGAGCTCGCTGCCCTGCTACAACCGCCATGGGAATCCACATCTGATAGCCCATTCTCCAATGCTCTCACGAGGTTCTCAAAGTAGTTTCTGGTTACGCTGTTGCAACAAAAACGGATGTAAGAAAGTCAAACGCATGTATATATGCACATGTGGGCGCTACTTCTGGAAGTCACAACTGAGGCAATAAAGAAAAGTGTATACATAAACTTCATCGCAGCTGAAGCAAACAGGGCCACCAATCTTTTAATCACAGGAGATACACATCTTTGCTATGGGAAAACAGCTACAATTCTTGTTTCCCACTAATACTAGATGAACTTAAATAAAAAAAAATAGCTCAACAACCTGAAAACAACTAACCAATACCATATGCACTGCAAGATCATATTCTTAATAGGTCCACTGTCCAGGTTTGACTTTTGGATCAACGCTCTTTTTAGCATAAAAATCCAGTAAAAAAAGAACTAGCGAGAATGCTTTTGGCTCAAATCAGCTTTTGAGTTAATATACATGTGCAGAGTCAATATTATTCCATAAAGTAAACTTGAAAGCTTGACAATAAAGAGCAGGACTAGGAGATGGGAATGCTGAGTCATAAGCTTCGCCAGAACTTTTTCACATCATATATGAAGCCAAAAAGAAGATTCGGCGGGAATATTATATACACTCTAATTTATCATGAAGCAGCTGCTCATTGGTACATATCATGCTCTCTCTAGAAACGATAAGGCACACTTTTGAGTGAAAGGAAATGTAATCACCAATTCCAATTCTAGTGTTTTCATGTGCTATTCAGAATCGGAATGGGCAGGCATTCTCCTATATGACAGAATGCCAATCCCCCCTCCTCCTTTACCAAGCACTTTGTTTCCAACTGTAGCCTTACCTTTTCCCATTTCATATATGGATATCTAGGGACTCAAATCTTTATAAATTGACCGTACAACACTGTAATTTGTACCCGACTTATTTTACTCAGACTAATTATCAAAATTGAATCTAAGAACAAGATACCTGGTAAGTCCAGCTAACTTGGTGCGGAAGTCATTAAAGTTACTAGAAGGACTCTCATCACTAAGGAACTGGTGAAGTTCCTTCTCTGCACACTGATGAAGCCTTTCCAATCCGGACTCCGCCTCACCTGGTAAAGAAACCATTTCATGTAAGCAATTAGGAAAACAAAAAGGATAAGCATGGCCATTGTATATACTCAATACTACTCTCCAATACAAACCTTGCAAGTACTCAAAAAATTGTTTCTTAGCATGTTCATGTTCTGGCAGATAATAACCATATGCATATGTCCACTTGAGCACTCGCCTACACTCAACTATCTGCAAGCATCAAAGGAGACTAATTTAGATACACAGAAGCAGGTCAGGATAAAAAACAAAACCACTCCATTGGATTTTAACCTAAATAACATCTGTATTTACATTCCAAACTGAAAATCACATCATTCATATTTAAATTGAATTAAGTAATATAAAGTTTAAAATAACCTGTTGCCAGGCCTCTATGATGAACTTCAACTGTGACTCCGGCTGGCACTGTGTGTCGCTAAGCTTATCAAGCTGACAAGAAGAAGAAGCAAAACTTTATTTAATCTAGAGCAAAGGGTCAGAAAGTATCAGCAGCACAACATAATTAATCCAGATGAATAGGAAAGAAGTCATGCATCTTGCTTCCTATCACAAGAAAACAGAGATCAATTTGTCAATCAAACATCATAAGCAGTTTATGGCAACTCAACCTGCCCAGTTGCCACTTAGCATCAACATAATTACCCTGTAAAGATCAGACACAAGTGCAATCCTTTGTTTACTCAATACCCATGATTGTCAGACTAGAATGTTAGCCCAAGTACAAAGAGGCAAAAACATACAGAAACAAAAAATCTTTCCTGGTCTTGTGCACTCCATAGTACACAAAATGAAGCTACAGATCTATTTCTGCAGATATTACAACCAGAATCCATTTGCCACGAAAACTCTAAGCAATATTATTAATTAAGAGAATATTTGACAATGATATTAACACTTGAATGCAAAAGAACCGTCAATGCTGGAATTTAATTAACTTAATTTATACAAGGAGTGCAGATCACAGTACAAAATCGTGCTGTGCATGGATTGTTAAAAAATTGAATCAAGTAAACAAGGGACATTTTTTTCTTCCAAAATGACTCAACAGATGACTAACAATCACCGACCCAATTTTGAGCACACATCCTTTAAGAGGCTTGATGGAAGGAAAAGATCCCTCATACAACTTTCTCAGCAAGCATCGGATCAAAGCAAAGACAAATGTAAGAAAACACAAATGACCCTATCTACAATTTTTGGCTCGTGCGGATAGAGGAAAGAAAAAGAGTGATTCAAGGGTCTACAAAGTGATTTTGCAGATATAGAGGAACCTTGGTACTTGGCCACTAATGTAAGTAAAACCAGAAAGTAAGATGGAACAAGCTATTTCTTAGATATAGTGGCTAAATTCCCCTGTGCCACTTACATTAAATTTTACATTTTAACAATAAAAAAAGGAGGTAGCAAAAGTGACGAACAAGATGGCACCTAGGGCGAAATTTGACATTTAATTCAAAACTTTGTTATTCAGACTTCACAAGTCATGTATGAATGGTACAGATTAAACAACAAGAGGATGAGCTTAGGCATCAGCCATGCGATAAAAACAACTATAGGAAACATATGCTACCTGGGGACCCCAACAGCACCTATATCAAAGCTGAGGCTTAGGCTATGTTTGGAAAGAAGGGAGGGGGAGAGAGAAGAGGGGTGGAAGCTGAGAGGGGGTCGTGGAAAATGGGGTTAAACTTAAAACTTTTGTGAGGGGAGAATTTCATATTTAAATGCATCCCCACATCGACCATTAATCCCGCCACCCTCTCTCATCTTCTTTTCCCCAATCCAAACAAAGCTTTGGCCTTTAGGCTTAAGTCTACGAGTGGGATCGCTTGGACAAACGTATGCCACCATCATCAGAGGGTTATACGCATGACTCGATCCCAAGCATCTAGATAGGAGGATAAGCACATTCACCAGCCCTTTGGGGGCTGTAAACCTATGTCTGTGATCAGCAAAGAAAGGAGAAAATAATGGTGCAGAGTCAAAAGGTCACACCTTTTATAGAAAACTTATAAAGACTAGAATCAGGCATCCCCTGTTTTGATCAAAACATCATTTATTCAGTCATAAATGAACCGGGCTTACAAGAGAGTATCAACTGAAGCTAAGCCATGGCTCCTACAATTTGCAGTGATTTGCTCAGTAAATGTGTGTCATCAAGGAACCAAGAGTCTATACCCTACGGAAAATAAGAAGACACATACTACAGCTATTCATTGCAGCTATAGCTAATGAGTCAAATACCGATACTTCAAGCAAAAAAGAAACATCAAGTGCCAATCTCTCTCTAGTACCACTTCAGTAAAAAGCATGATTACAGCTGAGTTGAATGGAACTTACGTGCACAGTTTGCATTTGATGTAAATCAGTAAGAGCTTTCTGCCTTGACTGCCAAAATAAAGAGAGATTTCGCATATAAGTAAGACAAACACCAGCCATGTCTACGTACAATAATGCTCCATTTGGATGGGGCAGGGAAAGAAAAGCAAACGAGAAAATTGGAAAAATAAAAATTTCCCTCTCTTCTCCTTAAAAAAATTTCAAATTTTTCTTAATTTTTCACTCACAGTTTCATTCCCCTCACTTTCTCTGCTTTCCAAATATAGCCTAAAAGAAAGCATAGACAAGTCGATGTTATTTCAAGGAATTTTTGAAGTAGCAATGCTACAACTCTTTACATCCAATAAACCATCAAAAAATTTCTGCTATCAAAATGCCTCAGCCAATCATATAACATGGTCAAGACATCCAAGGAGCGACACGAATGTATTTAACATAATGTACATAAAGTCCTATTCGGCATCGGACTGTCGGAACTTAGATGATTGAACCAAAGTCACGTGATGAATCATACTCTATCTACATATGACTTTATTTATGGTTTATGACATTGGTTTCAGAGATCCAAAAAATTTGTGGGATAGTTTGGGACACATCTTGTTCAATTACCAAAGTAAAACCTAGAAAGGGAAGTAATACGTTGTTTTGAGAAATCTTCTAAAAAAGCTATCACGTGGGTAGATTGAGAAACCTGAAAAAACTAAGTGCACATTTTTTTCGAACAGATTCAACAAAGATGCCTCTATCGTCATGGATGCAACATGAATAGCCCAGCAAACAATACCCTTCCTAGAGATGTATAGAGAGGACTATATAATTAGGTTTTGCCCAGCTTCTGTGAAAAAAAAAAAATCAAACACCTACGCAGGAGCTCTCACTTTCCTTTCTTTTTTCTTCAACTTTTACCCTTTTTAGGGATTTGGACTAAAATCAACCTCGATAACCAATGACTCGTGGCGAAGTATGACAATTTCAGATGCAAGTTATCCTTTATATCGTCTATTCAAGGGAATACGGCAAAAACAATATCAACAACTCGAGGCACCACACAGAGTTAAGTCTTTTGAAAAGCATCACGAGAAATCATTATAATTCCATGTGCTGTTACACACCAAACTTAGAACCGAGAAAACAAATATCACTCTGATTCCCTATTGTTCAACACATTTTATCCTGATAACCAAACAAGGACTCTGGAAAATATACGGTTTCTACAAGTCCAAAAGTGTACAGTCGATTCTGGTTATTCAACGTCATCCATTTTCTTCCTTTCCTTTTTTATTCTTTTAAAACACAAAAAACAAAATTTATTTCCTCTATAATTCTTCCTTCAGCCTTTTTTTCATTCTCAATTATATAATTGAGAAGAAAATCTAAGGAACTTATCTAGACATCCATCAGCAACATCACAAATGGCAATAAACTTAGGTCATCAAGGAACCAGAAGGGTTTTCGATGAGGTTCCCTTGACATCTGAAACCAGCAATAGAAATTTTGAGATAATTTGACAACAGAAAAAGGGTAGGGGAAAGTGAAAACTAGACAATGTTGTTAAACCCAGATAACCAAGGAGAGATTCACTACTTACGGATTGATTGCTTGCCCATCGTTCATAATAATGAGTATATCGCTCCAATGAGTTTTTCGCCATCTCTCTTCTTCTTTCAGCCTCATCATACTGCAAAAAGGTATTTTCACAGGACCAAAACCAACAATGTTAGTTCCACAGTTGTGTTCACATAACTTTACCCAAGAAGAGCATAAGTTTTTCAATTCCTACCGCTCCCTCTTGCTTAGCTACCTCATAACGATTGCAGGCATAGAAACCACCAGTTCTCTCCCCATGATCAGACCATGCACCCAGACAGAGCCTGTTTGAACAGATAACACAGAACAAGTAAGACTTGTACAATACCAGCTCCAAGAGAATTACATTGCATTACCATAAGCATAGACCCAATAAAAATGAGTACACAAAAATAAATGAAAATGCTCCGTTTAGAAGAAAGTAACCTTACCAGCAGAACTCAAATTTACAAGGAGGCGTACATGTCATGTGCATACACCCTTGGTTTTTCTCTATTGGCCGCTTACACTTTGGACAAGGCTTTGAATTGGCCAGAATCCTGCATATCATTTCATATCCGTTAGGAAAGCAGAGCAAGAACCACAAATCCTCACATAATGACATTTCCGGACACCTGAATCACAATTTCATTCAAGTCTTTCTCAAAATTTTGCATCCAAAAGAAGAAAATGTGGCAATTATTGGAGGGAGCGTGACTGTCCAAATTCATTCTCAAAGGTGAACCTGAGGTAGGGTTCCCAACATTTCACGTGAAATAAAGAGTCATATTCTTGCAGACATTCTGTAAAACCTTAGCTCTATCCTGTCCTCCCATTTGACAGACTATATTGCCACAATAAATCATTAAAGATACAAACAACCGGCCAGACTACGTTAATTGAACTTCTGCATGTCCCATCATAACATTTTCCACGAGGCCAATCTTATTTCTAGAAAAGAGCTTCGATTCCATTCACTCAGGTTGTCAACATGCCACCGACAACTTCACAAATAACAAACTTGCCAAACATATATTTTCAGCATGAACCACCTGCCTGCTGTGATAAACTAGGAATGACCCAAAAGGCAGACAAAATAACAGAGATAAGCCTGATAAAACAGTCCAGAAACAGGATAAAAAGACTCCAGGAGGAAAGTGTCAGCTATCAAAACAATAGAGTATTAATTTTGACAACACCATATCAGTCATTAAACTATTCTAGAAAACCTATCCCAGTCAGATCTGTTAAGGAGCCTCCTACTACTACTTGCTCAATCAAAACTTCAACAAGTAGTGGAGTGAAGTAATTGGACTCCATTTCCATGGGTACCATCCACAGGACCACCACCCTCCACAGACACGAAGACCTTATCCTATAAAATTTTCATATTGATATACATTTGGCCATGGTCAGTAGGATGATGAATGTAGAATTTTAAGATCAATTAAAAATTTAGACACTAAAGAAAGAGTCTACTCCCCCCCCACCCAACAAAAAAAAGAAAAAAAAAGAAAAAAAATCAACCGAAAAACTATATAGGCAAAACATAACACTAGTCAGTTTCCACGCAAGCATGTAAAACCATAACCTTAAGCCATAGGGACAGAAAATGGTTGACAAGCATTGACTCAGTATATAATCCATACAGATGGTTCTTCCAGCCTGTTGGTAATTCTATATCTGTATAGGACCAGATGGGAGTACTAAACATGCATAAATAAATCGAAAGGACAATTGCAGTGGCTAGACGTAGTATTTTTACTAAAACAAGAAAAAAGAAATGATGCATTTAGAATTGCTGTATGTTCAAACTTCAAACTGACGTGGGTGACATCATTATCCTCCAGACAAGTCATACAATTTACAGTTATTAGATCTCTTCCAGCAAATATATGTGAACGCAATAACCATAAGATAGCAAGAACAAGCATATCCATCTATTAAGAAATTCCAAGGATTCAAAATTTAACTACAAAAAAGGCATATTTTTGTAAGTCCAGTACGCTGTAAACTGGCTCCCTAAGCCCTAAGAGTCATCCTTTTAGAAGGTCCAAAGGTTACACCATATATAAAAAACCCTTTAGGCACTCGAATATCTCATATTGCTCATAAAAGCATGTCAAAAGAGGACTATCTATGCCTAGGCTAGTTTTTCTTTTTTGGTCGGAATGCCTAGGCTAGTTAATTCATATAAAACATTCTTGTTTCTTGAAAGAGGAAAGACCACACTATCCGTTGTATACCATTGTCATGGAACTCAAATGGCGGCAAATTCTACATGCATATAGTTATCTGTACCAGTTCATGTTTTCAGATTCGGCACTGTTCTTCATGATCCACTTTGCAACAGTGCCACAATCTACTGGACGGTGAGCTTCCTCTGTACACTGCAGCAGATCAAATCAAAAGGATGTCAACACACTACTTGCCACATATCGATGCAAGAAATTTCCAAAGAGAAGCTTACATTCCAGCAAAAGTTGAAAGAGCACAGGCAGGAAACATCGTAACCTTCACTGCCAGCAGCATATTCTACGGCATATTCACAACCAGGGGCAGGACACCACTTGGTCTGGCAGTAGGAAATTGAGGTAAAAGAAAGTTATATTTCATTTAACAGGCACCCAGTAGCACAAAGTCATTATCACACTTGAGAAACACTTCAGAAAATGAAAAAGAATAAGGTTGCAGATGTACCTTTCTATTGTCTTCAATGTACGAGCGAAGAAGATAGTGAGAGTACTTTCTCTTATCTTCTTGAGGCGCTAATAGATTTATCATGTCTTGACCGACGGCAGCACCACAAGATGGATCAGGACATCTCAATGTTAAACATCCAGGACCGTCGTTTATGGATGTGTGTATGTAACCTATCACAATGTCCACATTCATCAAACGACATCAAAAGGCACGGGAGCAAAAGCATGTACATTCGAAAGTGCACAGTTAATACAACGATATACTTCCAAGAGAGTGATATCTTTCAGCTGAAGACGAAACGCACACAGATTATGTTTGGTAATGGTCACACATCTTTTCGTTGGGGGTACTTCTTTTCAACAAAATGATAGAGATAGAAATGCTTCGAAATACAATAGTCAAGAAGCAAATCTCCAAGATCAGCTACAGAGTGCTGTTGCCTTTTCCAGTCTCACATTTCACACATTTTCATTTTGCCCTAAAAACTACAGGAGCTCAAAGCTCCTGCAGGCTGCAGCTTTTCCAAGAAGCAGCCCTCGGAAAGATATGCCAAAGGGATAATAAAACAAATTCTAGCTGCCACCAAACAAACGTACACATCCAAAAAATAAAATTAAAATTTGCTGAGGCCTGCTGATTAGAGATCTAGTATGAACGTGCATGTACCGTCTTAAATTGATGATTATATTCCCAAAGACCCAGATGGAAAGAAACGATAACATCATTTTGGATAGCAACGGAAAGATCTATTGAATGATTAAAGAAGTTCATAAAACAGCTCTAACAAAATTAGTTCTCGAAACAGAAGTACTTCTGTAATCACCAAACATGCCCCATGATCTCAGATTACTTCAAAAGGCAAAAGACCCAAAATTCAACAATAGGTTACGATAAACAGCACAAGAACCAAAATCCAACAAAGCGAAAAGATGAAACACAAGATATGTTAATGGTCATTCTTTTGATAACTAGCCATAGATTGTGAAGACATAGCATATAACAACCCAACGACCGAGATGATAAGAGCGGGAAATCAGACAAAACCTGCCCAGCATGTACTGCAGAAAGGATGACCACAAGCAGCCGACATAATTTTATCACGTGGACAAGACTCGAAACAGATTCCACAGGTGAGCTGCAAAGAAGGCAGTCCACAGTTAGTGAAGATAAGAGGAAACTGAGCCTGCAAACAATTCAGACATTTAAGACGACATACTTCTCTTAAATTAGGATGCTCAACAACCGGTTTTTCCAATAAGCCCACTGCTTTTCGCACTGTATCTTCATCAGCAAACCATGCATCATGAACCTTACTTACACTCCTGCAATGCCAACTTAATTGATTAAAATGCACAGCAGGAAAGGCAGAAACTTAAATTTGAAATGAACACCTAAACATCACGACATCAATCATTTCTGTAGACAATTCAATCATCACAACTAAAAGAGGCACAATTGAGATTGATGCAATTTTCACAGAAAATAAATTACATACACAGGTCGACTGTCCAAAGCATTACAATCCCAAGCACCGCGAGAAAAAACACAGAATGGCAAGAAAGCCACATCATACGGCATGCCAGGTGTGACAGCTAAAGCACCAATGAAGGACCCCTTTACCAATTATAATGGCGCAGCAGGGTGATGGCGGCGACTCTAGGTATAGATAGGACGCTGGCAACTCTCATTATATCATCCTCCTGACGTTCTCGTATATCCTCTTCCCTTAAAATGATATAGTTTTGCTGAAGAAATGCGAACATCAAAAAGCATAATCAGTCGAACAGAGATTTCTGCCATAGTTTCTCCACGAATAAGAAAATAATAAAAGAACACAAAAAAAACTAAACTTCCAAAACGCCAACTTCAGCTCCGTCCGATCATTAAGCAATACAGAAATGATCACCCCCAGAGCCAACAAAACGGACAACAGAATCACAAAAGAAGATAAAAAAAACACCAAACAGGTGAACAGGTCGTTACAATCAATACACCAAACGAGGAACCGAAAAAGCTCTAGCCGACCACAGCAGCTCCAACTCCACCCGATTTCCCCATTCCTTAATTCACCCCACCCGCGCAACAAACAGGAGGAGAATCAACACGGACAGACAGCACCGGGCGAGCTGACCTGATGCCGGCGAGCCGAGAAGACGTCGGAGTCGGCGTCGGCGTCCTCGACGAACTCGTAATCGTCGGCGTCGGCGTCGTCGCTGTTGTAGTAATCGTCGGCCTCCCCGCTGTAGAAATCGTCGTCCATCGACTCCAAGTCGTTGGCGTCGTGCATATCCTCATCGGAGTCCATGGCAAGAGAGAGAGCGAGGGGGAAACCCTAACCCTAGCGGGAGGTCGGGGGGGTGTGGAGCCCCAAAGGGAGCGCGGCGGAGGAGGAGGGGAGGGGGAGGGGGAGGGTTGCCGATTCTCTTCCGAAGGAGCGGGGGGGGGGGGGGGTTAGGGAGGTGGGGGTGATCCGAGATCGCACGCCGATCAAGGGAATTGGGGCAAGGGATCTGAGGAAGGAGGGGGGGACTCGAGAGCGTCGTCTAGGCAAAGGGATTTTTGCAGAGGAGGAGGAGGAGGAGGCTGCGTGTTCTTCCTCTTCTTCTTCTTTCGTCTTTCTACTCCTTTTTTTCGCTTCTCGAAAAGGGAGGATTTTTTTTTTGGGGGGAGGGGGGAGAGACCTATTTTTATTGTTAATTGGAGGAGGAGGAGAGGGAGGAGGAGGTTTGACAGTGAAGGAACTCTTGTGCTTCTTCTTCTTCTTCGTCTTCTTCTTCTTCCATGGGGTGGGCTTTTTTGCGCCTTTTTAATTTATATATAAAGATTTACACCTGCACTCCTGCACAGCCAGAGAGAGACGGGGAGAGAGAGAGAGAGAGAGGGGGTGAAAAAAGGCATTGAAAAAAAAAAGGCAAGCACGAGAGAGTTTGGGGGTCAAAATCTGGTTGGGGGGTTGAATTTTTTGCTACTTTACAATCTGGGTGTATATGGCCATATATTTAATGTACAGATATAGATTTGAGAGAGATATATGGAAACCAGTTAAAAGAATTGGTTTTTTATTTATAATTCTAGGCATATTTTTAGTTGATTTTTCCCTCATTTTTATTAGAAATCTTATTAAAAAGATTACTAATCTCCACGACTTTCTTTTTTCAATCGGAGTCAAGTCGATTTGGTTTTTTCCTTGCCAAAAGAAAAATTATATACCGGGTTAGAAATTCCTCCCTAGGCAAATGGTAAATGTGGGGAAGTTATTTGTTATATGTAGATCGGACGATACTTTTTTGTTATGTCGGATTAATCTCCATAAGGAGAAACCATCGTTGACATCTCAGCGTTTTGGAATAATCAGTAAGCTTCAATTAGAAACGGTAACTTTCCGGATATCATTTATTCGATGAAAAATATTATTAATTTTTCCTCACTAAGGTACATTGAAAAGGTAGGTACATATTAGTGATCAGCGTTCTTTGGAGGGTATATCTCCAGTAATCTCTGCCGGATATCTGTGCTGCCCTTTTTGGGTAGATATTCACTTCCGAAAAAAGAAACTCATCATAGCACAACAGAAGAGCCAAAAAAAAAATTATGTGATTGTTAATTTAGTGATTTTCCGCCGAACAATAAAACGACCCGCATTATATAATAATTAATATTCACCCTATGATGGTCAGTATATTTTATATTCTGATCAAGCAGCTCAAGGTCTATCTGTATTTAGCAACCTTCTATACAAAAGCAGCAAGTTCCGTAGTAACCTGTGACGCATATTGGCTACAATCAGCAAAACCAAGCCACAAATTTGACCTGCTTTTAGCCCCCCTGACAACACGGGAATTACCCATAAAAATTGGGTTCATATTCCATAACAGGATTGGTCCCCTACTTCTAATGAAATCAATGAAGAGAAAACACATATTGTCCCCTGCCTTGCCTTGCCTTGCCTCGCCTCACTTATCCTGGAATGTCCATGCAAAGAGTTCTTCACCCAGTAAAGGCAGTTTAACGCGAACGGAGAGATTGCAGTCCATCCTGACCATCTATAAAGAAAGCAGTGAATTCGGTTCACAACAGCGGAATTTCTCCAGACTAGCTTTTTCTATCGATGCAAACGCCAAAGCTGGATAACAACTCACATCAGAACTAGACGACCGCGTTGCAAGCATCGGCAACGGAATTCTCCAAGAAACCTCTTTTAAAAGATGGGCCTGCTCAAACAATTTCATATGCAAATAGCAAAACTGTTTAAGTTAGAATCATTTTACGCTCAGTTCACTAACCCACGTACTTAGGAATGCACTTACCAACAATCCTAGGTATACCAACATTGGTCTGCTAATTTCATGTACTAACAGATGTCAGGCTGCAAATGGACCTTAAGAAACGTGCATCATATTCAGCATACAATAAACATCTTCCACATCACCCACTATATCAACTTAGTTAAACAGCGTTAATACACCTAGCATATTTTTCACAAAATACAGCTCAGACTTGGACCCTACTGGATAATTCCAGAGCAAGCAGAAAATGATGAGAAGCACCTTTTACCACTTTGCAAACCATTTCTTTATCCCACATAGTCAAAATTTCTGGCTGCAGTTCCAACAAGTTATATGCAAAATCAACTGAAAACTCTTAAGTTTCCATTCACCTCTCGCAAGGTCCTTCACTAATCGCCGTCAAGTCGCTGCTCCACAAAAGAATCGATAATTTCTAGTTCAATCTTTGATGCGAGCCCAGGCCCCTGCCTTGATAGAACTTTCACAAGAGGCAGTAATGTCTTTTGTTTCTAGTTCAACCTTCACTAAAGATGTCCATCTTCACATTAAACCAGAGAAGAACATCAAATTATTTCAGCAAAGCTGACAAGCAAAATGAAGTTCTTATTGTCACCAAGGAGATTCAAGAATAAACTATTTCAGCTAGAACACACTTTTTGAAAGGTCAGAAGTACAGTTCAACCAACGACATGAGATTACGCAGCAAACAAATTCAAGCATTGGTTTTATTCTGTCCCTTTCTCAATGTCTTAGAAGCCCAGAGAACCAAATGGCTGATCTTTTTATATGAACCCGGTGCAAGATAGAGGTCCACTTGATCAATCCCAAATACGTTGGGCTCATATGAATGGGGCGCATGCGAATAACATATCTGATGTGCTCAGCAGAATTCATATTTATGGGGGACTAAATCAACGAAACATAAGTAGGTACACAGACTTTTCTTAATATCTCAGCAGCCCAGAGAACCAAATGGCCGACCAAGTTTTTATATAAACCTGGTGCATGTTGGAGGTACACTTGATCAATCCCAAATATGTTGGGCTCATATGCATGGGGTGCATGCAAATAATATCTCTGATGTGCTCAGCAGAATTCATATTTATGCAGGACCATATCCCTGAAACATAATTATGCATGTAGAAATTTTTTAACCAGGAAAAAAAGATCACAGAAAGATATGGAGAATTGGAGAGACATAGATGAACCTAATCTCATCACAAGTTCGATCCTTGTACCTCTGGACCAATCTGCAGCTATTGAGAAGACGAGAAAGATGTGCAGGAGCATCTTAAGGGACGAAAAGGAGAAAAAATGACATGTCATACCTCCAGCTGATTAATCAATTACATTTTTTTTTACAGAAAAATTGGCCAAAACTTTGTTATTTATGAGCTGAAAGGAGAAGAACTTTATCTAGAAGATAGTAAGAAGGGAAGAGAATGAGCATGAGGTGCAGGTTCATGTCCTGAGTCAGACGAACCAGGGTTGCCTCTGGAGCCACTACAATTACAAACAGTCGAGCACAGCCACCTGACCAACCTCACCACTTTACACCATAAATCTCTTAGCTTTTTCAACAGCATGCCTACTTTTCCATTTTTTCCTTTCATGAAAAGGGTAAATGTACTCGCTTACAAATCATCCAGATTGTACAGCTACCGTCAGGTCAACACTTAAAACAGAGGTTGACATTGCAGGCAGAGAACTAACTAACATGAGAACTCAACAATTCTACGGGGACCAATAAGACTGAACAAAGGCCAGATGACTATTAACCCAGCTGGAATCATAAAAAAGAGAATCATAAAAGAGTTATAGCCCACTTTTGTTATAACAGATCAGATTGTAAGTTTGCAAAGCAATGGCGCTGGCCAGTATGGACTGATCGGACTGTATGGTATCGTGTTGGAGCTGTGCAGCAACACGCACACCATACATCCATGTGCAACCGCATGCACTGAGCAAACTTTAGTAAACATTCCAAAGTGCAAACAGCTGTCACAGCAATGTTTAAGAAGCAGGAACTCCCAATCTCTAGACGGGGTCACTATTGAAATGGCACACCCCTTTTAGTTACAAGAGCTTCAAAGGGTATAGTACACTAAGCCACAAACTGGTATGCTCCATGGCAGATTCCAACCCTGTCTGATGGTTTCGCATTTCTAAAAGTGTTGGAAACTTACAAGAAAGGTTTCAGGTTCTTGCACTGAACATACGCACTTGTACCGTCTCACAACTAACGGTGGCGTCAACTTGATTACCAATTTTTCTGATCCACAAAGTAAAACTAGCCAAAATACAATTCGGTGTAATATTATTGCAGTTTGGCAATAGAATCACAATCATGTTATGGTTGGCTTTTACCCTCATTTGCAATGATAACTGATCCAATTTCTACCGGAAACTTTCATACCCAACGCTGCACGTGAATTCTCACAAAACAAATCCTAAACGCTTCCATCTAGACAGATGTCAAGCAATACCCTTTTTCCTCATATCAGATAGATTTTCTTGATCTGAAATTCTCTGCGTACATTAACTCCCAAAAGTACCCTTCAGATTCATCAAAGCAGGACAGGATAAAAAACGAAACCACTCCATCAGATTTTAACCTAAAAAACAGCTGCATTTACATTCCAAATTCAAAATCACATCATTCATTTTTTAATTGAATCAAGTAATATAAAATTTAAAAGAACCTGTTGCTAGGCCTCTATGATGAACTACAACTGTAACTCACCAAGCTTATTGAGCTGACAAGAAAAGCAAAACTTTATTTAGACAAGAGCTCAGAAAGGGTCAAGAAGCATCAGCAGCACAACATAACTAATCCAGACAAATAGAAAAGAAACAGCGCATCTTGCTTCCTATCACAAGAAGACAAAGATCAATTTGTAAATTAAACATCATAAGCAGTTTACAGTGGCGACTCAACCTGCCCAGTTGCCACTTTCAACATATTAAACCCGAATAAATTCTTCTGCCATACACAAATGTGATCCTTTAATTACTCAGTACAAATGAATGTCAGACTAAAATGTTAACCAAGTACAAAGAGGCAAACACATATAGGAACAAAAACTCTTCCTGGTCTTGTAGCCCTCCATGGTACAACAAAGTGAACCTACCGATCTATTTCTGCACAAGTTACAACCAGAATACATTTGCCACAAAAACTCTAAGTAACACCATATAAATTAACTGTTAATAATATGCGAAAGGATTATTTACTTTTTAATAAAGTTACATTCGAATTATAACTATATTCACATCTTAGCCTTTGACATAAGCATCGATTCATTCTCTTTTCCTGGTAAGTATCAGTCTGTTGACAATTATAATAACACATTTATGCAAAGGAGAACTAGCAATGCTGGAACTAAATTAACTTAATCTGTACTCGAAGGATAGATTACAGCACATAACCATGCTGTGCATGCATTGTTAAAAAAATTGAATCAAGTAACACAGACCATTTTTTTCTTCCAATGCGACCATGTCACACCTAATGGTGGCATCAACAGGATTGCCAATTTTTCCGATCCACAAAGTAAAACTAGCCAAAATACAGTTAGATGTAATATTACCGCAGTTTGGCAATAATATCACAATCCTGTTAAGGTTGGTCCTTACCCTTATTTGCAATGATAACTGATCTGCTTTCTACTGGAAACTTTCATATCCAACGCTGCAAATAAATTCTCCAAAACAAATCCTAAACGTTTTCATTGAGACATATCACGTAATGCCCTTTACCCTCATATCAGATAGATTTCATGGTCTGACTATTCTCTGAGTACAGCGACTCCACCAAAGTTCCCTTTTTTCGGACTTCCGGGATTCCAACCCCCCCCCCCCCCCCCCCCTCTCCTCCGGGGCCATCTTCTCCTGCCCCAAAAAGAAAAGAAAACCCACCCCGGCGAAAACTTTATGATCCAAAGCACAGTTCAAATACATCAATATCACTTTAACTGCACTATATCCATAAACTTTCAAGACCAATCAGAAATAAGCACAAGGAATGGTTAAACCTTCTATGTACAGAAAATCAAACCTGAACATGGACTCAAGTCCAACAACTGGACTGCTATATCTTGTGTACCATTGAGCCGAAAGAAAATGATCAAAACCTAACATTATTGAAATTTTACTTTCTTCAATTTGAACATCAAAGATTCTATAGACTTTTGTATTCTGCTCCCATTATCATGTACGACAGCCTGAGATGCCTGCTGTAAGCTTTGGATTCCTCGACCTAAACTGGCAATTGAGGGAGCTGCAGGAAGTGATTCGGCAGCACATTCGATGCCATCTCCATATACAAGTAAACTTGTACAAGTCGCAACACTGCACCCAAATGTTGCCCAAGGCAGGAAACCGACTGGTTTAATGCGCCGTTTCCTCATTATTTCATAGAATGCAGTTCTCATGGCCGATAAGCTTGTTTTCTCAGCAGAGGCAATAACACCATGAGCCACCACCCGGATTTTCTCAGCTGAAGCAGTCACTTTCAAGGCTGAGGTTTTCGCAGCCGAACTAGCAAGTCCAGGGGCCGCCAACTTTGAGGGACCAAGAGACTTGCCGAAGGCCATTGCTAGTACCTTTTGGGTTGGAGACAGCATGAGTTTAAATGAAGCAGGAACTTTGAAGGTCACAAGTTTCATAAACGTGGACACGGGAAGGACTTTTGACAGAGAAGAAGCTCCTAAGATGGCTGTAGCTCCAGCACCAACTGCCACCACCGGTTTACTAGACAACATTCTTTTCTTGTCTCCTCTATTAGAAATTTCTCCTGCTATTTCAGAATCTGTAGCAAGTTCTTCAACCAAATCTTTCACTTCAAGGGGAATGGGAGTGTTCCAGTGCTTCCTGAGACCCGCTAATGCACTAGCATCAACTACAGCAACTATAGTCTTGAACTTTTTAGCCTGACTCCGAAGAGCCTGCACAAAGAGCACTTGTGCCTTCTCCTCGTGCGGAAGATCTGCAAACTCAATTTTCGAAGAATCGCCACTTCCCATTTTATTACTGGGCAGCCGCGCAGCCGTATTCAGTGCTATCCTCAACCCCTCGACAGCAATCCGGAATGAATAAACTTCAGAAACTGTTCTACTATCTACAGCTTGCCCCCTGTTCACATCAGAGAGCAGCTGTTGAGCATGGACTAGAGCCCTTCCAATAGATGGGATATCAGTGAAAATATTATGAAGATCCTCGAGTAAAGGATAGATGGACTGGGCAAATGGTGGAGCCTCGTACTCAGGTATAGTTTGCAACTTCTCTGACCCCAAGTTTGAATCCGAACTCGAAGGACTAGACATCCAAGCCAGCGGATCCAAATTTGAAGATACAATTCTTACCATCTGAGATTGGACATCATCGTTGAGACAAAACCTCCTCAAACTAGAATAGACCCCAGAACCCATCCGTTGTGGAACCAAGCTACTGACCAAACCTTGAACATTTTGCCCGCAATCAGCTTCACTCGGACTGGTATTCCCACTCCCAGAAGAACAATTTACAAACGGTGACTCTAGAATAACGAACGATGAACCAACCTCGTGTGCAGCCTTCTTGGCGGCAAAGAAATGGCCATGGAAGCCAATACCAAAGATCTCCCGCAAAACCAAGCCCCCAGCAACATTCTCGTACTTCTCTTTATTGAGTTTATCCACAAAACAACGCCTGAGAACGCCCAGTGCCGAGGTGGGCACGGCGCAATCGACCCCATCGCCCGGCACACACTCGACGGGCTGAACCTCACCGGAATCCAACGGATCCACCTGCGCCACGACCGCGCCCGGCCGAACCTCCCTAATCAAGCACTCGGCGTCCCGCGCGGACCGCTCGGACAGGTTCTGCACGGCGAGCACGTAAACCACGGACCGCGACTCGGGCTCCCCCACGGCGAAGACGAACTGCTTCGTCTGCTCGGGAACCGGGAGCTTCCGGACCAGCTCGTTCGAAGCTTTCAGGTCATCGAACCTCGGCCTGGAGAAGGGCCACAGGGACTGCAAACTCCGAACGAAAGAAAGCGCCATCAGGACCACATCCGACTCCCTTCCACTGGAGACGACGACGAGGATCAACGCGGCCTCGCCATGGGAATGGAGACCGATGAAGGACGCGAGCAAGCAGGAGATGAACCCTAGCAAGCCGCTCTTCGAGAAGGAAGAGCGGGCGTAAGGATTCGCCAGGATTCGTCGAGAACGGACGGACGGACGGACGATCGATCGATCATCGATCGATCTCGCCTCCTGGAGAGAGGACACAGTCGAAATGACTTGACTAATCTCTGGGCCTTGCGAATATGCTATATGGGCCTCGTTCGGAATTGGACCGAGATCGAATCTGATAGAAGTGTCCCTACATCTTTTCACTTTTTTGCCTTATCTAAAAGGAAAAATGACAAAAACAGTCCCGAACTTTGACTTAATATGTAATTTAATCTCCGAAATTTTAACTTATTCAATGTGAATATAGTTTAGGGACTAAATTGAACTCATAAACTACATTGAACAAGTTAAAAGTTCAGAAACCAAATTACACATTGGGCCAAAGTTCAAAAATCGTTTCTATCTAAAAAGGATAATGACACAAATGGTCTACGAAATTTGGCCAAATATGTAATGTGGTCTTTAAACTTTTAATTTATTCAATATAGTCTGTGAACTTTTAATTTATTCAATATGATCCCTAAACTTTTGGTACATGTTTAACTTAGTTCCTGAACTATATGAAAATATTCAATATGGTCCTTCTAGTAATTCAAGTTCATGAACAACATTGAACATATTTATATTGTTCCGAGACTAAGTTAAATATGTGTCAAAATTTGGGATCACATTGAACAAATTGAAAGTTCATGAATTATATTACATATTAGGCTACAATTTAGTGACCACATTAAAGATATTAAAATTTTAGAGATTACATTATATATTGCCCCAAAGTTTAGGGACCATTTGTATCATTTTCTCTATTTGAAACTTGCAGCTTACTATGAATTCTTAAAGTCAAGAATGCTCCAACATTTTTCACAATATACTAATGTTAGCACATAAATTCGCATATAATATTTTCATGATTCTTTCAAATTTAGATAATGTATCAAATTTTAGCTTGCTTGAACTTATTTGAAATCAAATGGACTCGATTTTCAGAGCATTATTTGACAGAGTTGGCACGTTAAAAATTTGGGTTAATACCACGAAAAAACTCAAACTAGTATACATGTGACAAATTTATTCCAAACTATTTTTTTGACCACAAAAAATTTCAAACTGGTACACCTGTGATAATTTTATCCCGAACTATTTTTTTGACCACAAAAAACTCCACACTGGTACACCTGTGATAATTTTACCCTGAACTAATTTTTTGACCACAAAAAATCCCAAGCTGGTACACCTGTGACAAATTAACCCTATGTTAGTTTCCGTTAAATTTTATTTTCAAATTGTTAAGTTTAATGACATGTGGTAGTTGACAGATATTCCAGTTTGGGATTTTATCCCTCTGTTTGTCACAAGTTTACCAATTTGTGGTTTTTCGTGATATTAATCTAATTTAATGGATACTAACGGAGGGTAAATTTTTCACATATGTATCAGTTTGGGGTTTTTAGTGGTCAAAAATAGTTCGGGGTAAAATTATCACAGGTGTACCAATTTAGGATTTTTGGTGATCAAAAAATTAGTTCGGGATAAAATGGTTGCAAGTGTACCAATCTAAGGTTTTTAGTGATAAAAAAAAATAGTTCGGAATAAATTTTTCACAGGTGTACCGGTTTGGGATTTTTTGTGGTCAAAAAATTAGTTCGGGATAAATTTGTCACAGGTGTATCAGTTTGAGATTTTTCGTGGTATTAACTCTAAAAAATTTCAATGGTCCCTTATTCGATTGCTTGACAAAACCCATGTAACAGTAATTCTTTTTGTGAAATTCCTTTCTAGTTTCTATCATGTTCAATTTTTGCGGATTTTAGGAGTATGTATGTTCACATCCTACTTTCCATTTACTTCAATTCTTGTGTCTGCACACCATCAGATTTCCTTTTTCCTTTATATGCTTCTGACAAGCTCATTTTAAAATATAGCTCCAAAGGAGCCAATTCCTTCAGGTTCAGGACCGCAAATGGCACAAGGAATGAGCAAAACAATCTTGGGTCTGAGAAGTAGAATGGTAATTCACTGCTTAGGGTGCAAATGACAACATTTCTCTTCCCCGATCCTATTTCTGGCTAAAAATTAAAAATTTCATTTCTCTTTTCCGGATGAGTTTTTAAGCAAAAAATAATATTTGATAATGACACAAAATTTTTATTCTCGAAATAAAAATTTGTTTGATAACGACGTAAAATTTTTATTCGCGCCCACCTGTGAGTAGCGGTAGCGATGTCGGACGATCGATGAGCAGTGGCGAGGGGCAGTCGGCAGCTGGCGAGTAGCGATGGTGACGAGTGACAACAAAGGGCCGGCGAGTGGCAGGCGGCCGGCAAGCGACGGCGGGGGGCGGACGGCTGGCGAGCGGCGAACAGCCAACCGACGAGCGGCGGGGGGCGGTGGTGGCAGACGGTTGACGGCCGGTGGCGCGTGAGCGGCGGCGGGCGACAATGGTGAGTAATAAAAGAGAGTTGTTATTTCTGTTTCTGTTACAAAAATTGAAAAATAAAAAATTTTAACTTCTCATTTCTGTTCCAAATCTATTTCTGGATCAAAATTTATCCCAAAAATAAAAAAATAAAATTATTTTATCAAACGGATTTTTGTTCCAAATATTTCCAAAAAAAAAGAAGGAAAACGGAATAGTTATCATTCCCACCCATAGAAACAGTGACTTTACTGGTTAGAATGTGACTGTGAAAAGGATGATGACATTGAGGAGTTGTAGAGTACTTTGATTGTTCGACTGCATAGAAACCGTCTTCTGGACTCTTTCTCGCCAGTTTATATCAAGGGTGCCGTTGGCAAGTTGCTCGCCCGTTGTGACGAGTCGAATAACACCAAACTCGGCAGCGGTCACGCCTTGGTTTTGGTCCAACTCGCAGTTTTACACCAAAAATGCACTCGACATGCGTAATTTTGACATGAAACTTCTCTCTAGGAGTGTAAAAACGTAAACATTTAACTGTCTGTGCTCTATACTGAGTCAACAGTTCAGTAGCTCCGGACGTTCGATTAGCATCCAGACATAAAGATACAAGCAAAGCCGTGCCGGATCCACAGGGCATAAATCACCTCTGAACAGCCTATGGTTGGCACAGAGAAAGCACATTACCATAGATCTTCGACTTCATAACAGGTGATGTAGGAAGAGCGGGGTACATCATGGTGTCGGTGGGAGATTACATTATACAAAAAGCAAAGGAAAAAGAGAGAGAACATGGGAAAACACAAAATGGAGCATTGTGAGACCATTACTTGTCAGTAACAATAACGCCTAGAAGAATTGTTCAGGAACAGGAATGGAGAAGAAGAACTGAATAATCAGACACTTGAAGTAGCAAAATATGTTAAAGCAAATTGGAATGAATTCCATCCAATGTTACTTTAACAGCAATCAAGACCAATCAGATAATTAGCACAAGGAATCGTTAAGGCTTCAATGTGAAGAAAATCACACCTGAATATGGACTCAAATCCAACAACTGGACTGCTATATCTCGTGGATTGTTGAACTGAAAAAAAGCCATCATAACCATCCATTATTTAAATTATACATTCTTCAACTTGTACATCAAATATTCTATAGACTTTTGCATTCTGCTCCCGTTAGCATGCACGACAGCCTGAGATGCCTGCTGCAAGCTTTGAATTCCTCGACCTAAACTGGCGATTGAGGGAGCTGCAAGAAGTGATTCGGCAGCGCATTCGATGCCATCTCCATATTCAAGTAAACCTATGTAAGTGGCAGCACTGTGCCCAAATGTTGCCCAAGGTAGGAAACCGACCGGTTTGACGCGCCGTTTCCTCGTTATTTCATAGAATCCAGTTCTCATGGCAGATAAGCTTGTTTTCTCAGCGGAGGCGATGACACCACGAGCCACCATCCGGAATGTCTCAGCCGAAGCAGTTGCTTTCAAGGCTGAGGTTTTTGCAGCTGAACCAGCAAGTCCAGGGGACACCAATTTTGAGGGACCTATAGAGACTTGCCGAAGGCCATCGCTAGTGCCTTTTGGGTTGGAGACAGCATGAGCTTAAATGAAGCAGGAAATTTGAAGGTCTTCATAAGCCTGTACAAGCGAAGGACTTTCGACAAAGAAGAAGCTCCTAAGATGGCCGTAGCTCCAGCACCTGCTGCCACCACCGGTTTATCAGACAACATTCTTTCCTTGTCTCCTCTATTAGATATTTCTCCGGCTACCTCAGAATCTGTAAAAAGTTCTTCAACCAAATCTTCCACTTCCGGGGGAATGGGAGTGTTCCAGTGCTTCCTGAGACCTGCTAAGGCACTAGCATCAACTACAGCAACTATAGTCTTGAACTTTTTAGCCCGACTCCGAAGAGCCTGTGCAAAGAGCACTTGTGCCTTTTCCTCGTATGGAAGATCTGCAAACTCAGTTTTGGAAGAATCACCACTCCCCATTTTGTTACCATGCAGCAGCGCAGTGTTATTCAGTGCTATCGTCAACCCGTCAACAGCAATCCGGAAGGAATAAACTTCAGAAACTAGTCGACCGTCTACAGCTTGCCCCCTGTTCACATCAGAAAGCAGCTGTTGAGCATGGACTAGAGCCCTTCCAAAAGATGGGAAATCAGCGAAGATATTACAAAGATCCACAAGTAAGGGATAGATGAACTGGGCAAACGGTGGGGCCTTGTAATCAGGTATGGGTCGGAACTTCTCTGACACCAAGTTTGAAATAGAACTCAACATCCATGCCAGCGGATCCATATTCGAAGATACAATTCTTACCATCTGAGATCGGACTTCGTCATAGAGACAAAACCTCCTCAAACTAGAAGAAACCCCATAACCCATCCTTTCTTGAGCCAAGCTACTGACTAAACCTTGAACATTTTGCCCATAATCAGCTTCGCTTGGACTAGTATCCCCAGAAGACCAATTTACAGATGGTAACTGTTATAAAAATTTGAATAGCTTCGAATCAAAGAGCAATTAAGTCGGACTTTGAGGCGTGATATCACTTTCCTTAAGGATTTATTTGCCCCACAATGTTGCTAATGGTCACCGGCAAAAATCCTCCAGGATACAACAAATTCTCAAAATGAGAATACTAGATAGCAATTCTAGTATTTCTCCAGGGTCTCTCTAGGAAACAATTGAAAATGGTGGCTGTAGTTTTTCGAAAGAAGACTTGAAAAATTGATTGATTTTTCCTTCTTGCGAAAAACTGACATATATAGAAATCGGTCTTCATAGGCAACTCTTCACGAAAGGTTGCAAAGCTAACAAAGATATTCCTTCGGAAGAAGTTGCAAACTGAACAAATGCAACCCTTCGGAAAAGGTTGAAAACTGAACAAGTATAATCTCCAAAAGTTGTCTTGAAAAGACACATGTAAAATTCGAAATAAAATAAAATGAAAAATATATATAAATAAAATTCCGAATTTTCATAATTTCGAAAATTATTTAATAAACAAAAAATAACCTTTCAACTAATAAAGATTAAGGAGATAACCTTACGAAATAAAATAAAAAATAAAGGGATTAGAGCTAATTAAACCGCGGCCGCGCAATTATTCGCGCACCCGCACGCGGGTATTGTGTGGACTAGCACACACCCCATTGTCTTCACTCTAAGGAGTAAGAAGACACTCACAGTTATAAAATGGTCCACTTACCCAAAACTTTCCTATGTGGGACAAAGGAAAAAGTATTATTTTGTTTGTTTTACAAACAAACATCCAACAGTAACTCTAGAATAACAAACGCTGAACCAACATCGTGTGCAGCCTTCTTGGCGGCAAAGAAATGGCCATGAGAGCTAATACCGAAGATCTCTCGCAAAACCAAGCCCTCAGCAACATTCTCATACTTCTCCTTGTTAAGTTTATCCACAAAGCAATGCCTAAGAAAGCCAAATGCCGAAGTGGGCACTGCGCAGTCGACCCCATCGCCTCGCTCACACTTGACAGACTGAATCTCGATAAATCCCAACGGGTCAACATGTGCCACGACTGCACTCGTCCGAATCTCCCTAATCATGCACTCGGCGTCCCGGGCACAGACTGCGACTAGGGTTCCCTCACAGCAAAGACGAATTGCTTCGTCTATTCAGGGATCGGAAGTTTCCGGACCAACTCATTCGAATCTTTCAGTTCATCGAATTTCGGTCTGGACAATGTCCATAGAGATTTCAAACTCCAAAGTGCCATGAAGGACCACGTTGACTCCCTTCCACTTCTATGGGAAACTAACGAAAATTTGTGAAGAAGTTGACTAACAAGCTGAAAACAGAACTTCCCTGAAAGGATCAGGGAATATAAACAAAGCGAAACTAGAGACAACTGTAATAACAGTGTTGACTGGGTCTAAATTGGCAGACGCCCGGAATTTTTTTTGGATTTGAATAAAAGATATTAGGATTCAAACCTCAAACTACAGGTAGTAGTCGTTCGCTTGTCAGCCAGTTCAAATGGTTGGACTGCCTGGTCGTTAGCTGCTCGATACTGGTTTTTGACATAGGGCAGCCTGTGTTGTATTCCCTGATTACAAGATACTTCCGTGTCTTTGCAAGTTTGCATGCATTTCGCCTGTTAGGACGAGCAATTTCTTAGGGACAGAAAGAAAAAGGAAAAGAAAAATTCGAACCTACATGTCTGGGAGATCTCGCCAAGTCAAATTTACTTCATTTCACAATTGCAGATAGCTTTGAATGACATTGCCTGGTTCACTTACAAGCCGAAACGGATCTTTTGAGAATTTGATAACTCTATAAAAATAGAGTTATTTTATCTACTCTAGGCAATAAATAATGCAATATTTGTTAGAATATATTTGGATTTCCTTTTATTTACGTAATTTTTCCTTGTTTATGCAGAATATTGAGATATGGAGAAAATAAGGAAAATATGGCAAAAAGAAAGAAAGGAATATGCGATCCAGAGAAGAGTTAAAAGGTGGATATCACATTGGGAATTCTGCGATGTATTCCCTAATTTTATGCGAAAAAGAAGCAATTGCTTTGTGAGAGGAGTCTTGGATGTTATCATATAAATAGGATAACTTGGGGGAACATGGAGTTTTTTCTTGGAGATCGTCTTTGTTTTCAGTGTTCTGAGAGTTTTTCAAGTATTTTGAAGAAAAGACAAAAGTGGTGACAGAATTCTTATTCTTTAATTCAAGATGTTTGGTTTAATTTATATTTTCGTTTCGTCTTCTATTATGTTCTAATTTTCTTTGTTAGAGCTACGATGTAGCCTAACCATGATGATATGAATTTCATGCTTTTTATGCTTTGCAAATAATTTCATTCATGTGAGTTATATATTATTGTGCTTAATGCGTTTAGGTAACTGGCCACCACTTGAATGATTTGACGTACATGTTTAAGACTGAGAAGTGATAATATGCAATTACTCCTTATAATATATAATCATGAATTAAATGTGGATAGAAATATACCATGTTATTTGTGTAGCTTTCGGTGATAAGGTGATCCAAAAGATTCATTGTAAACCGGGAATATTCATAGATTTTAATGCGCTTATGTTTATTTAAATTCACATAGAAATATAGTGAATTGATAAACTGAGTAGGTTTGCTATACCTAGAGATAGGATAGTAAATAGACTAGGAAATTCCGCTATCACATGTTTGATATTGTTCTTATATGCATAATGATCAGAAATTCATATCTAGTGGTTATGGTGAAATCGGATGCTCTAACATATTTTACCTGATTGATTATCTGCCTTTAGTTTATAAAATTTCGTTTTTAAAAATTGTCAATTTTTATTTGTTCTCAATTATATTTTGATCTGTTAGATAAATTTTAGAATTAGTCTATTTTTAATATTTAATTGGTTTATTATCATCAATCTCTGTGGGACGATACTCTTCTCATCATTGTATTACTTGTTTAACACGTTCATTGACGCGTGCAGAATTTTACGAACAAGTTTTTTGGCGCTGTTACCGGGGATTGTTTATTTAATATCAATTAATATTGATACCAGATAATTCTAAATTTAATCTAACTTTTATCTTTTTTTTTCAGAGTATACCTTGATGCATGACACGTAGCCAACAAGGAAAACTTGCTAAGTTTGTTCCAAAAATCGAACGCACATTTAAAAGGCGACTGAAAGAACAGAGAAATCACATTAAAAAGATGGAGGGAGTTCATGATGGTAGAAATCAACGTAGACTCTTGAAAGATTATGCTGCGCCAACAGTTGAGGGCACCACATCAAGTATCATGAGACCTGCAATTCAAGCAAACAACTTTGAGATCAAGCCATCACTGATTCAGATGCTTCAACAATCAATGCAATTTAGTGGGCTACCAAGCAATGATCCAAACGCTCACATCGATGCTTTTCTTGAAATCTGTGACACAATTAAATATAATGGAGTTTCAGATGATGCTATTAGATTGAGATTATTTCCATTCTCTCTTAGAGACAAAGCTAAAGGTTGGCTCTCTTCTCTTCCTGCAGGATCGATCACTACATGGAATGATATGGTCCAAAAATTTCTTGGTAAATTCTTTCCACCTGCAAAATCTGCAAAAATGCGTAACGATATTACTAATTTTATGCAGATGGATAATGAATCATTGTATGAAGCATGGGAAAGATTCAAGGAGTTTCTTAAGAGATGCCCACATCATGGATTACCCTTATGGATGCAGGTACAAACTTTTTATAATGGGTGTAGTACAAATCTCCGTTTTATGATTGATGCAATTGCGAGTGGGAACTCGAATAATAAAACACCGAAGAAAAGCCTACAACTTATTAGAGGAGATGGCATCCAATAGTTATCGGTGGCCTACCAAGAGGATACCAGTGCGAAAAGCTAGCGGAGTTCGTGAGGTGGATGCTTTCACGGCAATCGCTGCGCAAATTGAAGCACTCAACAAAAAAAATAGATAATATAAGTGTTTCAGGCATGAAAATTCAGAATATGACATGCGATTTTTGTGGTGGAGGATATGTTAGCACAGAATGTCAGGTAGGTAACACTTTTGCTCAATCTAATGAAAATGCTAACTTTGTTGGGAATTTTAACAGATCACAAAATAATCCCTACTCCAACACGTACAATTCGGGATGGCGCAATCATCCAAATTTTTCATGGAATAATCAAAATATGACGAGACTGCCACCGGGATTCAAACAACCAGAAGAGACCAAGTCCAGTCTAGAAGATATAGTCACAAAACTTGCCAACACTACTCAGGACTTCATCAAGAGCACAGATGTGAGATTTCAGAACCAAGAGGCTTCAATCAGAAATCTGGAGATGCAAGTGGGGCAGTTAGCAAACATGATGTCTGGGAGACAACAGGGTTCTTTGCCTAGCAACACAGAGAAAAATCCAATTGAAAATGTAAAAGCTATAATCCTGAGAAGTGGTAAACAAGTGGGTGAAGAAGATACCAAACAAGAGATTTCCAGAAACAAAGAAGAAGAGGTCAAGAAACAACCAAAGGAGAAAAGCAAGAGCAAACTTTTTCCAGATAATCCCAAGTCATATGTGCCGCCAGTTCCATTCCCTCAGCGACTCCAGCAGCACAAAATAGATAAGCAATTTTCTAAATTTCTTGATGTTTTTAAAAAATTGCACATTAATATTCCTTTTGCAGATGCTTTAGCGCAAATGCCTAGCTATGCAAAATTTTTGAAGGAGATTTTGGCAAACAAAAGAAAGCTAGAGGATTACGAAACTGTGAAGTTGACTGAGGAATGTTCGGCCATCCTACAAAATAAATTACCTCCGAAGTTAAAAGATCTAGGGAGTTTTACAATTCCTTGCACTATTGGAGATTCTTACTTTGAAAAGGCATTG